AGTCCAAGGCGAATGTCTAAAAATGTCCAAAATCCAAAGAAACTAAAAATCCTCACATTTAGCTGAAACCAGAGCATGTGTGGGGTTTTACTTGAAAATTTAAACAAATGACCAATGTGCCAATTGATAAACTGACGACAAACCAATCGGTTACTTCCAAGACTCAAAATCCAGCAAAAGTCCACTCAGAATCAGAAGCTTCAATAAATGCTTAAAACTCTTAATGTATCTCAGGTTCTTCTTGGAAGTCCTGTTCTCTTCAATGGTATCACGTAAGAACATAGTAAATCCCAGTGGTAGCCTCTTCTCTCTATAGTTTAGACAGAGACATGCTGCATATCTCAGTGCTCCCCATTCACTAACAGCATTACTAATCATGTGTCCTTGGAACGGATGGATCCTAAATTAATTAAATGGATTGGCACACTGAATATCTCAATTGGATTACCGTCAGTAATGCAAGCTAACAAGATATTGTCATTTGCATGTGATTTGCAAGGCAAATTGCCTGAAAAGAATTACGAATTGGTTTTTTTTACGATTTACATTCTTAAAAAAAATGTACCGAACCTACTAATTCAAGTTCCTCAAGCTCCAAAACACACTCCACAGTCTGGTACAACCAACGGCAGTCTTGGTTACATTCAAACATTTTTGCCCTGTTTCTACTCTTTAAGTGAGCTGAGTTAAAACATATCTTTGTTCAAACTAAATGTTTGCACAAAAAAGGTGTTTATTTGTGAGGTTTTCAAACCATGAAGAAGAGACATGAGGCTCAGGCAAAGATAATGTGTAAGGGTCAAAGGGACAGGTGCCTGACATTTTCGTCAAAAATGGCACTACTTCTTGGAGTCATAACTCAGTCAAACCTGAGCACACACACAGGATAATGCTTTTATAAATTCAGAATGACTTATACTTACACACAGATAGATTTATGTCTATCATAAATAAACGGCCATAAATCTGCTTAGAAATCACAGGTAATCCTAATTATAACTGCAGAACTTCCCTAAGAATCATCATGTTTTTAAGTTTTCACCAGTATCTAAGAAAAGCAGTGAAAGTTCTTTAGTCTGCACATCAGTGGGTACATTGCAAACAGGAACTGTTAATAGCCGATTTGGCATACGTTTAATGGAGCCAACTTGCCAAAATCTAAACAAATATAGGCTAAGAAAACAAGGCTGAAGTTGTAGCCCACAGCTAACGAAGTGACTAAATGAGTTATCCAACCTGCTCAGAACCTGAAAGCACCTGAAAGCACACTTTCTTTCCTTGTATCTCAGCAGTCTGCTTGTTCACTGCCTGGTTCATCAACATATCCAAATGCATCAGCACACTCACCAGCATGCCTTCCCTCCCATCCTGCACCAATCCTTGACCATCCTATGTGCTCCAATGGCAACTCAGGACAATAAGGTAAGGAAATGTGTCACAATATTATATTATTAACATTTACTTAGTAGTGATTTTTTTTCCCCATCTAAAGCCACTTCTGACCTGAATATTTAATATAGTAATACATAATAATATATATAATTTCTGCAAGGTCATATAACCATTTCCTTCTCCCATTTTTACCTAAAGCCACCAATAATAAGTTAAAGGCGTTACCTTTTACCTCTTTCTACAGTTCAACACCCACCTTCCCAGAGGAACAACGAGGCCCTCTTTTGCTCCTGTCACTGCCTTTCACAGAGCAACACAGAAGTCTTTCCGGTCAACAGTGAGTCCAACATGCAACAATCAAAACTAACGGCTCAATACAGCAATTCAAATGTAGAAACATATGAGTGAAACTACTGCCTTACTTCTGTTTTCCTTTTAACAGTTTAACAGTTTGTTGATCAGTGTTTTTACTTTGGTTTTAGAAACGAGGGAAATGGGGTGCAATGCATGTCTGCATTGCATGGAAGATTTATTACCACGAACAACTCAAGGTAAAACTCATTATTTAACTTTTTTTTCAACTTTTGTGGCATTTTGTGTGAGATTACTGTCAGTCAAACACACTTTTTTGGTTATCTATATAAAATAATAATAGTCTCTAAATTCTGATTGCATTTATTTATAATTTGTCTTATTAATAACAACAAAAGGAGATTTACAAACATTGTTTTAAGGAGCTGCACATATAGTAAAAATCGTATACATTCTTCGAGCTCATTAGTCTGGAAAACTCTGATATCTCTCAGTTACATGTTCTCATTGTGAGTTTTATACTTTTGTATCTGATTCCAAAACTAATTTGTGCTTTACGAACTGTATTTGATGCATAATTTAACAGAGAAAACAGCAAAAGCCCAACAGTCTCTGTCGAGATCTGACACCCGAGTATCCTGCCACCAGTCTACATAACTCAGTGCAACACAAGGAATCAGACCAGTCCTCCTGCATTCACCCAAATCTGGGTGAGTCTTATGACCAGCAGTGTAAGAAATTCTTCTAGCAACAGTATGATGTGTGTGATATTATTAAAACTCATCTGCTTCTCATTTTTTTAGACTCTCCACGTGGACACTTCGGAAAAACAGCCAAAAATGTAAGAGACATGAACACAAGTTATGCCTCTGACCTTAACACACCTTCACCTTGCCACATCCGTACGACCAAGAGGGAGAAGCTGGAACAGAACCTGACACCTGAGAAGGAGAAACACGGGTGCCAACAAACTGACCCAGCGAAGGATTTACCTCACAGAGACACATCTTGGGATCTAACAATGACTCCTGAACTTCGCGGGAGACACAGCGGCTCGCGTGGCAGAAAAAGGCAGTTTGAGTGTGACGGCTTCATCCAAGTGAAGAGGGTGAAGCAGGAAGTCACAGATGACCAGTTTGATTCTTCAAAGACTTTGCACACTGATCCATCTCGTACACATCCATCATCACACACAGTACCAGTGCAACACATAAGCGATCTGCATCCTAACAGCAGATTTAATGTCACCAGAATTCCTGGGGGACTCATCTCTTATCCAGCAGCTGAAGTGCATCCCTACCAAGCTGCTTCATGGGATGCAATGTGGGACGTTCAGCAGAGAATGGATTTCTACTCTGGACAAAATGTCCTAAAAGACTATTCACTGAATACCTGCAAGGCGATCAGGATACCTCTTGTAGTGCAGAGACAAAAAGAGGCTTTTCATGGTTTCTTTGCGCCACCTCTTTATTTACCTCTTGCTTTGAGGCAGCAGGACACTGTTTACCTCAGAGGGAGGGAGTTTCTACAGCCACGCTACGACAACTGTCATCTCCACCGCTGCAGACATCAGCTGTCTCATCCTGGATTTCTGGCAACACCCTATCTGGGGCCCTGAGCAAGAAAATGAAAGCAGCTATACCCATAACGACAATCACTCATTTACAGTACGTCTGTTAGGTTCACTGGTCATTCTGGTCTGTGCATGAAGTCAACGGAGCTCCACAATGTCCAACATATGGAAAAAAACATCAAAAAAGGGAAGCTTTTGATTAAAGTCTCAAGTATTATTAACAAAAGATACTCTTTGCCCTGGAACAGCTTTAATAAGGCAATGAAGATTATTAATAAAAGGACATATTTGACATCAGTGTCTTAGATGGACTTTTGCATCTGTGCAGTCATGCTCACGCTGTATTGATTCCCTCATTGATTAAATATATTAAGATGCATGTGCTTGCTCATATTAATGTTAAGTTCACAATAAACTATTTGGAACATGAAGTGGTCACGTGGTATCAATGCTCTTGTTTGTAGGAAGAACAAGCAAAGATTTATTATTTTGTAAATCTGCAAACCTAAAATGGAATGTAGCCGAGTTAAAACCTGAAGGGCTCATTGCTACCTTACACAGCCATGCTAGTGTCTCTATGAGGCTCCTCTGGCACAGCAGTGCTTTGAGCTAAATGCTAATGTCAGCATGCTAACATGCTCACAAGGTCAACGCTGTCATCCTGATGTTTAGCATGTATAATATTCTCATATATCTCATTATAGCTGATGAGATATTTCAGTGTGGACCAAAGCAGTGGCAGAAATACGCAGGTATCTTACAAAAGTATTAGCATCAAAATATACATTTCAGAATAATGCATATTATTATTATTGAATTATAATTACTAATGCATTAAAGCTGGGGTAGGCTGTTTTTGTTTGGGTGTCACTGGGAAAAAATTCCATAGTAAGCTTTCAGCATATTGTAATCCAAGAGGTCTGAGACTGAGGAAACGAGTCCTCTGCTCCTCCCTTATATAAACTGTCAACGGCGCCTCCTCTTGGCTGTTTTCAGGCTTTATAAATCTAGCTAGTGATGGGAGACTTTAATCATAAGTCACTTTGAGGAGAGGGCGTTCCTATTGGTTGCACATCCATTCACATGGTGAAAGCTTGATTCAATGGCAGAACCTCACACTTATTTCCAATACCTCCTTTGGTGTATAGTACAAAACATACCACGGTGCTCTTATCAACTTGTGGCAAAGAGGCGTTATGACAAACAGTGGGGACAGTGGTGTGTGTGTGTGTCTGTGTGTGTGTACTAGCCTTTCACCCTACTGTTGCAGCTGCTTCTGAAGCCTGGGATACCCCACCCTGGGGCTGCAAAGCACTGGAGGGGCCTCTTTTAGAAGACGAGTCGCGGTGACTTGCCCGAGGTCTTCGTGAGGCTCAAGCCTTGGAGAGTGGACCCTACGAGGGATGAGGTTTTGCAGGGACTCCTTCTGCTGCCATTCAAACTGGTGGTTTAGATGGGAGGGCCTTATCGGAGTGAAATGAGTCAGCAGAGAGAGGCAGAAGGTGGTGCATAGGTTTGCACACGTTTTGCCTACTGCAGCTTTAATATGGACATTTAATGTTGCAGCAGGTAAAGGTGACGCAGGTAGCTTATGAAGTTCACCATGGATCGATCCAGTCTTATTTTGACCTGTAATAATAAATCCTAATTAATTTGCTGACTATATTTTGTATCATTAATCTGAATCTCCAAACTAACTACTAACTAAAGGTTTCAAATAAATGTACAAAAACGAAAAAGTTTACTTTTGTATCAAAAATGTATTTAAACTTAGTAACAATAAAATTAAGCATCATTCCAAGGCTACAATAAAAAATAATGTCTTATGAAATTCTTCATCGGGCAACATCATGGAAATATCACACAAAATGGAGCATGGCGTTTAAGAACACATACAGAACATTACATAAAACTGGCTTTGTAGTGCTTTAACTCATCTCCTTCATGTAAACTCTGTCAGAAACATCATTCACAGGACACGTCACAAAGCTAAGCTGAGGCATCTGAGCTGCAATAATGAAAGCGTGGTCTCCAAAACCAGCACAGAGATCTCAAGTCATACCACCGTAAAAACCATGAGAAAGCCAGTGACACCTCCACTAAAAGCTCCGCGGCAAAATATACTACAACAGGCAGACCAATTTAATTGCATAACAGCTACAAGGGAGCCCAGAATGGATGCAGGGTGCAGCGAAGTGTGGAATCACACCACGTCCATGCCCAGGCCCCTCGCCACCTCCGTCAGGGCCTGGACCGCTCCCGATGTCCCACTACCGTCACAGTCCTCCTGAGATAATCCTCCCGGCTCCTCCTCAATGTGAGGGATGGTGCTCATGACACAGTAGACGGGAGAGTCACTGCCTCTGGGGCTGGGCTGAGACGAAACGTCTTCACCTCCAGAGAACTCCGAGGAGTACGAGGAGGAGGAGCTGGAGGAGGGCGAGGAGGATCCTGCAGGGGAGCTTCGGCCACTCTCTGGCGTGACCGCGTCCCTCTTGTTCCGACTGCTGGTTCTCTGACTTTTCCGAAGGCTCTGCGGCTTTTTGGCCATGTTCTTCATGATCTCCTTTGTCACTTCCACAGTCTCAAAACGCACCATGTTTACTTTTAAGAAGCCGTCCACGTCCTTCCTGTATCTGTGGAGAAAGTAAATACACATTTTTTTGTTTCGTTTTACTTGATATATATATATATACAATCACTTTCATTACATCTGATGCACCCCTGATGACGGGGAAGTCAAGTGGATCTAAGAAACGGCTGTTACCTAAAGCGGGAATGTCCAGACGGCCATTTCAGCTCATGCTTCTTGCGAAGGTGAAGCGTGAGAGTGTAACACCAGGAGAAGACCTTATCACAGATATGGCATTTATATTTGGACATTCCTCCGACCTGTTGGTAAATATAATGTAATGACGTAAACAACAAAGCATTATCATAACGTTCAACAAGATTACAGCACGTTCTCATGATGACCTAGAGAGGTTGTATGCTTAATGTCGGCACTAACGAACCTCGTGCACTCTCTTGAAGTGGTGGCTCATGGTTTGGAATGTGTGACAAGAATAATCACAGCCCTCCACTGTGCAGTGATACACGGTGCCCTCATTGTGAACCTCTGTGTGCTTTTGTAGATCGCGCTGGTTCTTAAATCTGTAAAACAAGAAAGAAGGAAAATAATATGACACCATTTTATGCTCCTGATAAGAGTCCAATACTGAAACAGTCCTTAAATACTGCTTTACACAAAGGTTATAATTACTAACATAATTTGCTCACAATTTCTCCTTTTTTATAGTATATTTCGTAGATAGATTCCATACAAATGTACTGTCAAGTACATTACTGCCTGTGGGGAAAGACGTACTCTTACTTACTTACTGTTACTTCAGTAAAAGTAGCAATGCCACAGTGTAGAAATACTGTAAGTCCTCGAAATTTAAGTAAAACTACAAAAGTATTAAGATCAAAAGTACCAAAAGTAAAGGTACTCATTAGGCAGAACGGCCCATTTTCAGAATTATGTATATTATATTATTGGATTATGATTATTGATGCATTAATATGTAGAAATCCCATATGTTTGCAGCTGGTGAATGCAGAGGCTTTATGTCACTACTTCTAACAGTACATTTACACTAAAACACAATTTATACGGGTTTTACACAATAGTTGACAAACTATCCCCGAGCCTGGATTTTGCAAAAGAACAGCTGCTGAATCTAATCAGCCGTTTTGAGGGTCTACCTCTTGTCACAGAAGTCACACGGGAAGGGCCGCTCATCACAGTGGCGGAACCGGATGTGGATCTTCAGAGCTGCCAAAGTGGTGCAGGTCATGTCACAGAATGGACACTTCACCTGATTCACTGAGGGCAAAAGAACACAAATAATTAGATACAATAACAGCCTAATGGCTCCTTAACAACTCCATCAGTGATCCACTTGCCACCATTTTAACTGCAGATTATGTTAAATGTAGTTTTTTTCCTTTATTATGACATGTAAACTTACTGATCAATTGCAGGAACGAGGCATTTTTAAAAACTAGCATGTGAGAGAGCTGTTACTGTTACATTTTGAAAGAATCTGACATGGATCAAGCCTTGATTGATATTTATCAATCAATAATGCTTTAACGTCAGCCAATATGATCTTTGAGAGTTTTCACATTGCTCCCTCTCTGACAAAATAATTCTCATGAGCCTCTAAAAGTACTGCCTTACTATAAACTGAAACACAACTGATGAGTAAACAGATGACTGAATCTTAAAAAAATAATATGGGCAGCATAATATAATAATCTGATCAACAACTTTATAGATTTTCTATTTTTAACATCTACTTACTTTAACATGATATAAAGCCATAGTTATCTGTGTGAAACTAAATATTTCACATACTAATTGAAATTTATCTCATCAGGAAACAAAAAACAGTAATCAAACGACAAACAAACATTTCCAGATTAGACTTGAAGGAAATGAAATAAATGTAAATAAAAGGAAACGATTACCATGCTGACGAACGTGATCCCTCAAAAGCCGCTCGCTGGAAAAAGCTTTGCCACAATGTTCACACACCAGCGACTCTGTTCGAATGAGATAAATGGAAAATGGTCAGACGTCTGCATGTGTGCCATACATTTACCGCACCAGAATCCTATAAAATATTACGCAAGCTGAAGTGTCCTTCTCACCCACTGGCTCGGCCTGCCTGTGTAGGTGGTCAAACAACTTTGTGTTGCTGGAGAACATGCTGCCACACGTGGGACAGGCTACAAGTCTCTCCTGAGTGTGACTCCGCATGTGTTCTCTCAAACGGTACTTGATTTTGAAGAAAGCATCGCAGCCTGTAATAAGAACAGGACGTCGATATCACTATGACAGAGCAGGCGACGTTAGACACACCAGGGACATCTCTTCAATCAGTCCTACCTGTCCAGTGGCAGAAGAGAGCCTGTTGCTGGTGTAAAAGAGACTGCGGCTCAGCACTTTCAACATGATTGTCCACATGTCTGTAGAACCACTCCGGATTGTTAAATGTACTCTGTATGAAGACAAAAACATAAATTCTACAATAATGCTGCAGCTATTTGATGACCCATGAATAACTCTGAACTGAAAGTACTTACATCACAGTGCTCCCACTGGCAAACGTATCCGTCTGACCCTTCGGGGACCAGGTTGTTGCTGTGCAAGCCTTGGTTGCAGCTGGGCAGATCCGGACGGGACTTGAGCAGCTGTGACCCGACGAACTTGAGCTTACCATGGTAGTTGTGGAAGTAAGCATGGACCTCCAGCTCCGCAGGGCTACCCATGGATAGAAATTCACATCCATTCCAGAGACAAGCATACTCGTCTGAACAAAGGGAGGGAAGGAGCAAATGTTGCAATGAAGAAAGGAAAGTTATTACAGAATATAGAGAGATTTGACTATGAGTATACAAGGGCAACTAACTGAAAATGTACCTTTAAGCAACCTAAAACTGTGTAAGTGATGCCAGTGTGTTCAGTATATTCCTTCAGACTAGCTGTTGTAATGCACCTGAAAGTCCAACAACATCTCATATCATCATATCAGATATTGGATAAACTGCTGGGGGCCCAAGTGCAGATGACGAAGAGTTTATTAAAGGCAAAGAAGACGCCATGTCGGTCGTGGTTGCATTGAGAGGAAGCACAAGGAATTTGTGGATGGTGAAGAAAAAAGTACAGACATAAGAATCAGTCAAAGAGCATGTTTCAGATCCAACAGTCTATTGCACATGCACGTGTCAATTCTTATTATCATTATTTAAATCTAATTATGATGTTAGAGAGCCGCATTAGATATCATCATTACAGGACAAATACATATTGTACTATTGTATCATTGTGTACTGCAGGGGTTCTCAATTGTCCCCCTTTGAAAGTTGGAAAAAGTTCACACCTCACACATTGTGTCAAACATTAACAATGATTTAAAAAAAAAGCTGAATTTTAGATGCCTCTGTGTATCACATCTCTTCTCAAATTTAAAACTACAGTTCACAGATGAGATCCCAGAATTGGCGCAAAATAAAACAGCCCACAAGTAAACACTGACTATGGGAACTTTTCAAGATACCTGCGATCGATTCTGCTGTTCTGCCTCTTCACTGTACTTATATCTTCCACTGTGCTCAGCTCTCTCTCGCCCTGACAACATGAAGCGTGGAAGAAACGACCTGTCCTACTGATTCCAGGTCCTCCTCACTCACCCAGCTCCTCTAAGGCATCGTTGTCTCCCAGGTAGTCCTTCAGGTGCAGGGACATATGGTCGCTCAGCTCCTCCATGGTGTGGCCCTTGAAGTTGCACGAAGCCCACTCACACACCACCTCAAAGTTGTCCAGTCTCTTCGTTGTCATCATGGTGGTGATCCCTGTGAGCCCAGCTGCTGCTGCTGCACACAACCCTGACCTCTTAAAACAGACACACACACACAGCGACACACACTGAGGGCCACGATACTTTCAGGTAGGAGCAATTTCACTGGGGAAACTAGAGGTGGCTGCAAATGTGAACGCAGGTTAACGTAAAGTAATGTAGGGATTATTTTAACCGACGTTAGCTCAAGTTAGCTGATTATCTATCTAGACGAGCTGGTTAAAGGTTTACATTACATTAAAAAAAAAACACACATTTGCGAGCGTTTACTAGCTAATGACACTGGCAATTAACGCTAGCGAACTGCTGCTTATTTCCAGTTTAATATGTTTTTATATTTACGTTAGTATTGTGGCTAACAGTGTAGCTTACCGCTCAAAGTGTCACAGGTTTGTCCTCCCTGTCGGACTCTTTCTAAACATCGTTAATCCTCTGTTATTAACAGTTTAACGTATGACACAGCTTTAACATCTTAAAGGGGGATTCAGAAACATGCACTAAAGTTTCCCACAGTTGTGCTCACACATAGTTTTTGTAAAAGCTGTCTTACGAGTGTTAATGTCAGTGGCAGCAGCAGCTCTGATGTCTTCCCTCCTCCGAGCTTGTCTGCCTTTGTTTATTTCCGCTCAGTGAGAGCCTCAAAGCGGAAGTTGTAGTTCTGCTGCGTCTGTTTTTTTTTTTTTTCTTCCAAAACGAGCGAGGGAGTGTATGAGTGTATGAATGTATAAGTGTATGAGTGGTATGAAGTTTGAATGATGGAGTGTTAAATTTTTGAATGTTTAAGTGTATGAGTGTGATGAATTATGAATGGTATAAGTGTATGAGTGTATAAGTGTATGAATGCTATGAGTTATGAATGTGATGAGTTGTATGAATGTATGAGTGTAAAGTGTATGCAGATGTATAAGTGTAATGAATGTATGAGTGTATGAGGTATGAAGTTTGAAATGTATGAGTGTATGAGTGTATGAATGTATTAATGAGATTAAAACAAAACCAAACGTTATATAGAGATATAAATGGCAAAGTCTGTCTGACATACCTGCTGGCTGCCAGGTATTAAGCTGCTGTTAGGTATGCAGTTCATAAGTGACTGTACTTTTTATGTGTGCCAGGACAGTGGAAGTTGCATGAATTGCTGCCCAATAATATTATAGACAAAATATATGCTGATTTAATTTGGCAAACAATCGCAGGATCGCATATAATAAATGTTTTGGAAAGGCCATTATTGTGCACATTTAGTAAGCATTGAATAGAAATTCTAAAGTGCATGTAGAAATCATAAATTGTTTTATTACCATTTGTTTTTCCAAATAATGTCTTTAAAAAAAAAATTAGAACTTAAGCCTATCACGTTAGTCCTAAACAAGTGTCCATACCGATCTTTAAATTATTTTCAGTTTTTAACCAACTTGATCGTAAATTGAGGAGTTCGCCTTGACACCCAAACTGGGGAGCAGCTACCACTCCTTGTCACCCCTCTAGATCCCACCACTGATCAGAAAGTCTTCGAAGCCTGATTTTCCATTTACCACCAACACCAAAACTCCCCCATATAGAGGTTTAAAAAGTCCTAAACACTCCCCAGAAACGTTATCAGAAATTTCCTCCGTATATCAGCCACTTCCCATTGTTTGCTAATTGGAAGAAATAACATAAGCTTAACTAATAATGACTTTTTACCCTTTTATAATCTTACTTTCACGGCTATTCCCTACGATGAAGTTTGCGAAATAGGTTTAATTTGCACTATATTTCGAGATTTCTAGTTGTACTAAGGCCTGAAGAGATACCTAAATGCCAAGCATTGTGGCATGAATATGAATTTTACTGATAAATTAAACCCCTTTGGTTTAACACTAGGTTCGTAATATTTTCTGTTGTATTATTCCTTTTTCATGTAGAAAACCATCATCCCATTCATCCTTGATGCCACTAACTAATGTGTTATAATGATTTAGTTGAATCCCGCTGTTTTTAAATGTGACAACTCACAGCAGATGGTGAACCCAACACCCTCCATCAGACATTTTTATTATTAATAATATAATAATAATAATAATATAATAATATAATAATAATAATAATATAATATAATAATAATAATAATAATATAATATATAATATAATAATAATATAATATGTCGGTAAACGTTTCTTTGTGCTGGCAAGTATTTAGATGTTTGTGACATCAACAGAGATTAGAGCCAAGCAGGAAGAAAGGTCATTTATGTCTGGAGGAATTATATATCCCAACCAGTCTGCGGACACCCATGAGAACCGGAGGAGGACATTTCAGCTACTTTGCTGACTTTGCTGCATCCACTTTGCTTTTTATCCAGATTCACATGATGCTATGAGATTGTGCAATAGATCCTAACCACTAGAGGTCACAATTTGCTGACTATCGGTGCCACACTATGCACCGGTCTGGCTTGTCCACAAAATACAATATTTTCATGATTGTGCATGCAAGTCATTGTACACTTATATCAACAATGCACATGTTAAAAATAGCCAGTTATGTTGTGGTGCACGTTTCATCCAAATGTTTGTTTCAGGTAGACACATTTGTGTGTCAAAAAATGGTCTAATGCAGAACTCCCATCTGTAGTCTCTCCACATGCTGTTTATTGGCCTTTTGTCAGTTTGCATTTTATGGCTGGATGGCATTTTCACATAAACAGGTAAAGCTAAAGGCACAGTAACTTTTTTGTTTATGGCAGTTACTGCTTCAACATGATGAAAATTGACAGTTTAAGTGTATGAAATCTCATTTTTTTTCCTTTCAACACAACCTAATAAGCTATGTATGTGAGACAGTAACCAGCCAGACAAGTCTTTTAGAGAAGGGACAGAGCTTAGGCAACTCTGGTGCCATCGCTGATCTGTTATTCAATATTTCATGCTGCTCTGCAAACATAAGGACCCAAAACAACTGAATTATTCATGCAGTTTTATGTCAGGATGACTGATTCACAGGAAAATGACCACCCGCTTCTAAAAGATAAGCAAGTGTATGGACTGAAAAATGATCAAATAAAGTTTTCATTTTCCATTTGACCTTTATTTTATTAAGAGGATTGTTTTGTTTTGAGATAAGACCATTTTTGCATCTCTTAGTTAATCCTGGAATTGTAAGAAAGATGGAGAGAACAATGCATGGATGACATGTCATATTAAGAGAAACAAGCCTTTGAGTGGCTCCAAAAACTAGCTGAAGCACGACATGCCTACTCTATATAAAACCATGCTTACTTTGGCCTCCAGGAGTGCTTTGGGAAAATAATTCAGGCCTGTATATATCATTTCCCAAATGCTTTTAACAACATTTATTAAGACACAAACACTGGTATGAACACTTTAATTCCCCCTTTAACAACAGTAGCCTCTTCTTAAAACTACATTTTAATATCAGTTCAGTGTGGTATTTTACTGGTGCAAATGAATATAATCGAAAATTTAGGTTATATAACTATGTTTAGGGGTGGAAATTATAAACAACATTGTTGAGACATAATATGTAAAATATGTACTTTTCACCATTTTATTTTGTGTTCTCTGCAATATAGTTAGCCATGTTTTCTGTTTCTAATTTATTTAGAAAAATTGACAGAAGAATATATAAATTTTTTTGATATGTTAAATTATTCATTATTATAGCATCCAAATGCTGTTACAGCAAACACAAAAAAATATCAAATTTGATTATTTATTAAAAAGTATATCATTTAACATTTTTTTGCAACATTTCTGCAACTCAAAAGCAATATTTTTGTCAGTGTGAAGGTAGAATACTGTTATACAATTTACAAAATACTAATGCCCAACACAAAGGATACAATAAAAACACACGATTCTGTATCATCATTTTAATCATGAGTTCATTCAGAGCAAGCTGAGAATACAAGCACAATATCACAACATGTCTGCAGCGGTATGACATTGTCATAACATCATTTCACTCTGGTCTGACAACACACACAGTTCAAACCAGACAGCATATACGATGAGAGATATAGCACCAGGGTGTGGAGTGCATAGCAGCACGTCTAGTGGTTGGGTCAGACTTGATGCTAGCAGGCAGCAGGCTGTAGAGGTCAGACACAAAAAACTCTCACTCACACACACACTGAAGCTATAACTGGAAGCAGGCTCAGGGTGGGTAGTGCTCGACTGGGCCCTCACACACTGCAGCCATGTTAGCCACTAAGGGTATCACGGTAGATGACTGTGTTTATAACCAGACAGGGAAGGCTGTGATGACATCTTTAGTAAAAACATGTCACACTCACAATGAACAGATGTAATTTTGCGCATTTTCAGACAGCAGCATATTAAAGAGCTGAACTACAAGTCCTGGCCCATTCCTTGTCCTTCAACACCTGGAGAGATCAGCCCATTCAGAGTAAAAATTATCGAGTTAATACAGTAGGTTCTCTTTTTTTCAGGCCTTTTGTTTTCTTATTTAGCACAATGACAGCGTCACAGCTCAGAGGAGAGGATGGAGTACAATGTCACAAAATACAGTCATCCTGAAATCTGCAGTGTTCCCATTAAATCAAAGGAGTGGATCTCTATGTAGATTGCAAGAAATATGTTTGTGGGTGAAACCATCTTGCTGGTGTGTTAATTTTAAAGCTTGAACAGCTGCTAGACTATGATTTTAGTTAATGTATGTACTTTAGTTTTTTGGTGTGACCAGAATCTATTACTACACATGCATTATATTTCAAAAGGTCTCGCCCCTATACATTTATCTTTACTGGCTCAATTTACAAGCTAAAATGTGACTGTGACAATATAGTCCGCTAAAATGTTGCTACTCAACCAAAAACGGGGTCCTGCATGCAAGCTGTAGCAATTATATTACAGTTCATTTGGTTTCTTAGCAACCAAACTGATGAGACCAGATATCATCCAGAACAATGAAATGAAAACCAGGACCATACAGCGGAGGCACTGTAACTAGGAAACACAACCGTAAAACAGATTTTGTATCTTCACAAAACCTCTCATGTGATACAGTCTCAGAGACAAAGCATCCTCTTGACATTTTCTACAATCATTTTAATTTTGATCTGAACTGTCATCCATTCAGACAAAGGTAAAAATGCCCTTTCATACACATACTACATGTGTACTGATGGCTCTTTTTTTATATGATGCCAAATGGAACTCATATAAATAATGTGCAAATTATGTGCTCAATAATATAAAGCGGTTCTGTGCACCAAAATACAAGGAATCATATACTTTCACACATTTACATACACACACACTCACGCGCAGTTTACAGTGAAATTATTTGCATTATTTTAAAGCTCAACATCAGTGCCCATTCAAAGGTGAACAATATATGACCAGACAGCAAAAACAACAGGTAAGGAAATAAACAAAAGGGAAGAAATTTGCCTAATGCGTCAAGTAGCCTTTGATCACGCACATAAAAGTGTAGAGATAAACTACTTTTAATGCTTTGATTCAGCCAGTCTATTGCTGATCTCTTTGCTCTTCTTTGTGACAACTCCCTCTGGTTTGGCTTCTGCGGCACCCAAAGACGGCTTCTTCTTGGCTGACTGGGAACTAGCAATCTGCTTCTCTTTTGATTTTTTCACCATCTTCCCTGTTGTTGTTGTTGGTGTCTTTTTTGGTTTGGTGCGAGACACTGGTTTATCCACCTGAAAGAAAAGCGAGGGGAAAACACTGAGATTAAAATATCAAAAATAGTCAGTTGAACTGATGTTAAAGCAATAGTTCAGTATTTTGGGAGATGCACTTCATTTGCTTTGTTGCAGAGAGTAAGATGAGGAGATCAGTACCACCCTCCCAATAAATATGTAGCTACTGCTAACAGCCAGTTAGCTTAGCATAAAAAACTTGAAACGGCTAGCCTGGTTCTTTCTAAAGGTTAAAAACTATGTTTTACAGGGGACTGTGTCTTGGCTGGGAGTCGTGACTACCCATGACAACAAGACTCCATCAAGTTTCCAGTATTTGTGCTAAGCTAATATAATCAGCTACTGGCTGTAACTTAATACCTAACAATAGGTATGACAGTGGTATCAATATTCTTATCAAACTCTTGGCAAACAAATAAGTGCATTTCAAAAAACTTGTCAAACTATTCCTTTAAACAACTGCTTAATATATTGAGACTCTAAAACATGTCAATGTCCTATTTTAGCATGCAATACGTACCTTTTCTATCCTGTTACTTAATATAATGACAGGCAAATGACACTTACAGGTGATATTTGCTTTATGTGGTTAGTGCAATGAAGATTTAAAAAAAACACAGCACAAAAGGTGTATTTGTGCCTGCGCAGTGGTTCGTGCAATTTTCCATTAACAATCAACTTTTAAAGAAACCATAACATACAAAGTACATGGTTTATATTAGTATATGAGGTTAGTCTTACACTTTAAAGAATGATTTTTAACATTCAACCATTAATAGTGGTGGCAAAAACCAGCTGCTTAAGAAGCAGGTGAAGATCACTGGTTCAAATACCCACACCGACTGGGAAAATGAGAGATTCACTTATTTCTGCTGTTGTGGAGTTTCCACAACAATAAAAAACTTCTGGATGAGTTCAAAATGTCCAAGTGTCCAAGTTGTATAAATGAGTAGGTGCACAGCAAAAAAAAGTTGCAAACATGCTCAACTTTTGCTCAATAAATAAACCTTAAAAACGTGTATATTGTAAGAGATGACATGTTTGTAAAAGGCTCTTTCTGACAGTAAAAATTAAGGGCTCTATTTCTGTGAATAAAAGGGTTGTGGTGCAAAGTGATTAGTAAGGATGCGTAAAAAATTGCAATAGTTCTCATAAATTGTGTTGCCACAAAGAGTTCAAGAGAGAGAGAATTCAGATGAATGTGTTAACATTGGGTGTGAAAGGGTATTGTGCCATTCATGTCAAAATTAAAAGCAGTGCACTCTGCACCACGATGGTCAGTCATTTTCATCACGGTCCAGATTAGATTCAACAAATGTATTAATTTTCAGTACACTTCTTGATGCTGTGGACCTTGAAGAATAAAATTATATCCGCACAGCTGTATCAGCTGCAAACTGCTACTACGCCATTTAGACATCAAAAGCCAAAAGGATAACATCGTCTGCAAACAAGTGTTACCAATGCTTGATACCAAAACTGTACTGCACCACTTGCCACTGCCATTGGCACACATCCTTCTGTGTCACTCTACCCACTTTCATGCTGTCATATTAATCATGAGCCAATTGTGTGCAGACATGGAAAAACATTTTTTCATTGTGTAATTTGCACCATACATGGTCACCAAAATAGAGCCCTAAACAGCACAGATCTGTTTTGAAAATGCAATGATGCAATAAATCCTTCTCTTTTGATTTTTATCTGTTACTTGTTAATATAATCTAATATTATTTTTTCTTCCTTTTATTAGTTAATCCACCCTCTTGCACAGAATATGCATGGTCAGTTTTTGAAACTATTAAGCTGCATAAAGGGTGATGGGTTGTGCAGGCTGAGAGGTGGGCAAACAGTGAAGATGTGGCTGCTACATTTTACAGGATTGCATCTGGCAGCTGGGTGATATATATGTGATTGTGGCTCGTACTAGCCAAGACGCATACTTAGTGTGTGTGTGTGTGCATGTGTGTGTACAGTATGCACGTTTGCGTTCTGATCAATTTGAGGTCAGCCTCCATGCCTTCCAGAAGAAACAGAAAACACACCTGACTACAGCAGATTTAGAACAGAGCTGCTCTCAGTCTCTGAGAAGTCCTACAAGAATGAGAGAGGGAGTGGCCATATGAACACACTACTATAGACACATGATTAACCAATTTTCGTTTGAACTGTCTACAACATGCACGCACATACCAATCTATGTAAGAATATCTTCAAAATAAAGGCCTACTTTAATATTGGATGAAGTCACTTGGTGATAAAATCCAAAGTTGGGATATTAATGTAACATTTCAAACTGATCAATATTTTCTGTATATGTAAAATTTGCTCAATTACCTTGTTTGTTTAGTTATAATTTTCAGAATGGCTTTTTAAACATTTACTGGCCGATTTATATGCATGATGGAATAATAAAGCAATGACAAATGCTTATTTTGTCATTTAAAATGTCTTATAATTGAAATTTAAACCTGTTTTGTTGGTGTTTGATAAGTCTGAGAACCAATCACCTGCCATTAGGCCACAGTGTGACCCGGATGGAGGGTAAAATAACTTTTATAACATTTATGCAGCAGCGATTTCAGTGAGTAGGAACTCAAGTTCAAAACAAAGTAAATTGACAAAATCAAGTGTATAGCAGGAGTAATTAAGTTTTAGACATGACTTTAAATCAATGTACTAAAAGGAAACTCAGGTAACTCTAAAATAGTGGTACAGGTATTTCACACACCTACAATAACATAAGAGGATCTGTGGGTGGGCATGCGCTCACCTTAGCAGTTTCCTTGCTAGGCTCACTGTACAGGCTGCGTATCCTCCTGCGGTCCAGCAGCTTGTTGTCGGTGGGGTGAGGCTTCACCTGCTCCCCCTTGAATGTGGCAGTATAGCTCGTTTCCAGACTGCTCTCCTCCAACGGGGGTTTATACTGAGCTGGAGTTTTGATGGGCTTCACTAGTTTCACATCCTTATATGCCTTGAACTCAGTCCTGATAAAAATGTAGAAAAAGCAAACATAAACTTTTTTACAGCTGCAACTTATGATTAAGTTGATTATAAGTTTATTATTGATTAATCAGACAGTTATTTTCTTGCTTAATCTGATATATCTTTGTATGTTTGTTATTTTGTTGTTAGCATTTTTGCTTGGAAAATTATGAGTTTTGTTTAAACTAATGGATTGAGGGACTTACTGAATCAGCCCTAAAAGGTTTAATGTTACTGAAATTGGTGAAAAGTAACATTGCATGTTCCAACTGTGTGGCACATCATGAACACATTAAACTCAATGACTAGCCAATGATGTTAACTGGTTATGCTACGTTTTGCTAAATGACCACATCACCATGTGCAGCTGAATGTGGTTTAATACAAACTGCTGTCCATTTTGAAACGTGGCAGGACCTAACTAGGCTGGACATAATGAGAGACTTTTATATTGCTCAAGCATTTATAAGGTCTCATGTTGACTGCAGCTCAGCACCAGGCTGTGCAGAGCTCTGCTGCCAGTTTTTTGCTGAATACTTGATTCATGTCACAGGATCATATTCGCACATTCATTTCTCCATATTAGCTAACTGTTATTTTTAGCACTGATGTCAAAATTTGATCTTTAGGTTTACTTTCTAAGCTCTGACAGGGTAACAATTAGCTTTTTATAGATCCATATAGACTAAAATAGAGGCTCATGGGCTTTTCTATTGTATTAAGAAACTTACTTAGAGAATAGCCTATTTATAAAATCAGCAACTAGATATTAAAGGACCAGTGTGTAGGCTTTAGTGGCATCTAGAGGTGTAGAGTTGCAACCCCCTTGTCTCACCCTCCTGTTGCAAGCATGTAGGAGAGACTAGAGTGGCCTGGGACTCTATCTAGAGCCACTGTTTGGTTTTCTGGGCTACTGTAGAAACATGGCGGTTCAACATGGCAGCCTCTGTGTCTGTACATAAAAATGTCTCATTCTAAGGTAAGGAAGCACAATCATTCTTATTTTCAGGTGATTATACTCTAATGAAAACCTACCTATGAATATTATATTATTATATTTTTGCCAATAGATCCTCCTAAATTTCACACATTGGACCTTTAAAACTGAAATGCCACTAATGCTCCTGTTTTTGATGTTGGAGTGTACTGAATTGTGTTTTTATCTTATTTTTTTCAGTGAGTAAGAAAGTGTTTGATTGACTATTTTGATTTTAATTTCAGCAAACAATGTTTTTATCAATCAGATTTAAGATTTTTGTTAAAAGATAAAAGGTCATGTGCCCTTTCAACTTCTAAGGAAAATTGTTTATTGTTTGTTTATTATTGTGGTTTGTTGTGTTCTTCTGCACAACTGCTTCTAATTATCAATCTGGGATCCCATTAATTATGGTTGTTTTATGGCCTAGAAATAACATAATAACTGCGCTTTAATAAGTAGCACATTAAGTTTATTGGCTAGTTCAGTTGATGTGGAATAAGTTTAACAAACTAACAACAGAACTGTGTTGCACTGGTATATTGAATGTTAACTTCAATGCTTCAGTGGGCGGACTGAAGCCATCCGGTCTTATTAACTTGCATTATGCATCCCCAATTCAATTCCGAGGAAGTCTGTGCAAAGAAACCAGGATAACACATGATTACATTCAGACCCTTTTACTGGCTGTACTCATTCATGGGCTATTGCATTGATTTGGTACTCTTAGGGAGGATAAAGCAGAAAATCAATAATGCAACCTTTATCTGTGGCAATATCAGTTTGCTTTGGAAATCACTAGAGACTGTAAGGAGATACCATGCAATGCCAAATATCCCCTGATGATCACTGAATGATGTTTTATCACTGGACAGGGCAGTGTGGCATACAGAGGTTAGCTCTAAAGGGCTGTTGGTAGTTTTAAAGAGATGTTGTGTAACAGGGGGGATACTGTTGATAGCCTTGGAAATAACGTGCCACAGTTGTAAAGTCGCAGCAAAACAGAATAAAACGTTTATTCCAGTCGGCTTAGAATAAACCATTCCTGCCACCACACATGGTCGTGTCTCGCTCTCTCTCACACTTTACCTGTAGCTGCTGGAAGACGACATAACCTCCTTTATCTGTCTGTTGAGAGCGTCTGCGGCTGCTCTGCCTTTCCTCTGCTCGGCACCCACACCCGCGGCCACCTGTCCCTCCGTCTTTTCACCCGTCTGTCTCTCCGCTGACTTTTCCCTCTTGGCGCTTTTCTTCATCGCCTCCTTTGACTCTTTTTCCTGCGTTTTCTCCTCGATCGCGCTCTTCTCCACGCCGCTCTCGGCCTCGGCGGCCGCCTGCTCCTGTTTACCGCTCCCCGCGCTGCGCTCCGGCCCGCCGGTGGGGCTCGGTTTGGGGATCCAGGGGTGGTCGTGCTTTTTCGGTATAGGCCAGGGCTTGTAGTCCTTCTGATACTGAGTCTCGTTATTGAACGGGGTCGCCGAGCGTTGGTACTCGTTTCTGGGCTTGCAGCTGGGCTCGGGGCGCACTCTCCACGCCTTGAAGTCTTGGCGCATGACGGACGCAGAAGAGCCATCTTTGCCCGCTGCGGCACCCGTCGCGGGCGGTGCCTTCCCTGCCTCCTGCTCTTCGGGATGGGGCTGGGTTTCTATGGCAATGGCACCGGCCCTCTTCTGTCTCGGCTGCGGGTGATGGGGCAGATGCTGCACGTCGGCCACATCCGAGTATTTGGTGAAAACCAAAGGCACCGCGATGTCCGCTTTGTCCAGCTCGGTCCAAAAGCGGTTGATGCAGCAAGCACGCGTAATGCACGGCCATGCCATGATAAATAGTAGGAGGCTGACAGGGAAAAAATAAATGCACGGGAAAAGAAACCTCCAAATGAGGGATAAACGTGTTAATAAACGTCCTACTCACGACTCGAAGACTTGAAGTGCTCGGTCCCTCACCCTGTGCCCTCTCAGTTTTTGTCCAGTCAGGGTTATTCCTCCTTCTAGCTTTATGTAATTCTCAGCTGAGTATATCTCACCAATCTTTGCATGAGACTAAGGAAGTAGAGCCCCCACGCTTCCCCCTCACTCTCTCTCTCTCTCCTCCTCCTTCTGCAGGCTATTTGTTCTTATTGGAAGTTTAAACGGAGTTTGGGCTTTGCTGTGGAGTGCACATTGCTGTCTGGTTGCGCATCAAAGCGACCCCACCCACATTTGTGTGATGCTTCGAGATGCCCGGGGTCTGCACCGTGAGTCTGCACGGTGAACTATCACCTGAGCTCGTCACCGTCTGGCCAGCAGAGAGGGAGGAGACACGTTTAACCCCTGTGCTGCCACGCTCAGAGACTACCAGCTTCAAACTACAGTGGATGCATGGAAACAGCAGCCTATTGTTGGTGCATTTGGAGGAAATGGCAGATAATATTGCTGAAAATCGGAAATAAGAATCATATATATATATATACTATATATATATATATATTTACATTCACGTCTTTTTCAGTTTCAGGTGGAAGCTGGATGGATCCAAAAATGAAGTATGCAACTGAAAAAAAACACAAAAATAATAAAATGTTGTCACAAACCTGACTCAAAGTGCCATTTTGCATTATACACAAATTATTTTATTAAACCAAACTGAAAAAAAAAAAGATTGTTAAAGTTTATGTAAAATCTAAACTAGTTAATGAGTATTTTGGGTGAAAGAGAACCACGTTTCCATAATGATCCCAATAACTTACAACCACTGCAACATCCAAATGTTGTGTTACATTTTTTGTTCCTCACACCCATATCAGGATATATTCCTCTCGTTCAATGGCAGTTATTTGATCAAGAACTATTTCAATCAGAATGCATCCTATAAGAGGTAAACATCTTAACTACCCAAAATACATAGCTGCATGAGCTTCTTGTTTCTAACAAGAGTGCTTCCCATTGAGCATGAATTAAGGAATACTGCTAATGTTGGTGTAACTGCTCCCTCTTGTGCTTTTTTCCTGCATCATAGTCAGAGGAAAGGAATCAGTGTAATGCAGATCAACATGGCCACTTGCCTCCAATAATAAAGCAATAAATTAGCTGTGTACGGCAGTTTATTTATGCAGAATAACCCACATCTGCCATATTTAGCAAATAAAACAAATGAAGAAAAAAGGGTTAGAAAATACTTTCATTAAGATCCCTGCATTATTACAGAGGAGGTTTGTCGAATAAGAAAACAGTCTGACAAAGACTCAAAACTTCCAATATTTACAGATCATGCCCACCTGCCTTATATTTCTAGATATTTGGTTTTGCGATTTTTATTGAGCTTTCGGTGAGTATTTATTTCAATGTTTTCTTCCTACCAAATTTGCTAACTTATTTACAATGCAAGATTAAGCATTTAAATACAACATTAAGAACAGAAGTATTTTTTCTTGGGGACCTCCAGGACTGAATACAAATGGCATCCATTACATCTGCAGTAAAATGAGTACTTCATATCAAGGTGTACAAAAACATAAATGAGTGACAAGAGGAGGGTGTGTTAATGACTGACAGCATATCTGTTCATTCATTTTTGTCCCAGAACAGCTTAACTCAGTGTCTGTGTCATTATCATTTCGTCGCAGCATCTTCCTCAGCCACTTCCTCAGACTCGGCCTCAGCTTCAGCTTCGGCCTCAGCTTCAGCTTCGGCCTCAGCTTCAGCTTCAGCCTCAGCTTCAGGATCATCCTCTGGATAGAGTCTGCAGTATTTGTCAACCATAACATCCAAGTCGTGTTTGACGTGAGTGTTAACGTTAAGCATCGCGAGACTTTTGTTCCACTGCTTGGCGGGCATGCCGTCAAGATAGGCCTGCAGCCGCTTACTTGCGGTGTCGCTTTTGTTGTCCTCTAACTTCAGCACTGGCAAGGTGGAGAGCACCTTGAGGAAGGAGTTCACGTTGGGAAAGAACTTGACGTCTGGCAGCTGAAGGGTTTCGTGGATGGTGGTGGGCAGGCGCACCTCTTTGCCCCTGTGCTTCCACTTGATCCTCCAGCAGTGCAGCTCTGCGGGAAGTGTGTCTGGGTTGGGGAGGTCGTTGCGGTAAACATCTGCGTAGTTCTCCTCGGTGGTGTTGAACTTCATCTGGCCCATGACAGCTGGGACCAGTGACAGGCATTTGAGAGCTTTGAGGTTGGTCTCACAGAACATGTCCCCCACCTCCTGCATGATTCCCTGGATAACGGGGACAGTCACGTACTCCTTAAAATACACCTCCGCTTGGATTTCGCCCACGTCGGCTGCGCGCTGCTTCCGAAGAAACAGCCTCGGGATCTTGACGGGAATCTCCATTACGTTGGCCATGCTCACAGCCTCCTCGTACCAGAACTCATGGTAGACGTCAATGTTGTCGTTGACTTCGTTTAGCGAATGCAGGACAGCAGTTAGGCTGTTGGCAGCAAAAAACACGTCGAGAGTTTCCCCTTGGAGATTCCTCCCGAAGGCTCTGGTGAACGTGAGAACGTTCTTCAAGATGATGACGGTGACAACGATCTCGAAATCAGCCAGAGTTTCTGTGATGGAATATGCGTCCGCCGTGACAGTATCGGCAAACTTTCCATCTTCGTTGTCCCGGATGCTGTCCATGCACAGCAGCAGGGGCGGCAACATGTCTAGCAGCACGTCGAAGACATTGTGCTGCTCTGTCCATCCTAAGCTACAGGCCTGTTTCAGCGTAGTGCCTTTCTCTTCATTCTTCTGGTAGTGAGTAGAGATGGCTTTTTCTAGCTCATCCTGCGTAAACGGGGTTCTAAAGAAAGCACCGATCCTCCTCAGAATCTCCATGACGACCTGGACATTAGGAAAAGGCAGACTGTTGGCCAAGTGGAGGTTCAGTGCCATATGAGAGCAAGGCATGTGCAACGCCAGGGGATACTTCTCCATCAATAATACTGCCACAGCTTTCATCTTGGTGGTGGAGGTGCCAGTGGCCTTGTGGGCCTGACCACGGCAGTCCTCCATGCTGAGCCCCCAGCGGTCGGTCAGCTGGGCCTCCAGCCGCTCTACCAGGGCAGACTCATCGCCATCAAACGCCATAAAGTCCAAAAACTCCTCTCGAAGGACATTCTGCTGATTTACAAAGCGCAAAAATAGAGGCAGGTGTTTCTCGTTGGCAAATTCAACAAGGTCGCCCGTCACTAGGGAGAAGAAGCGACTCTCTCTCACCTCCATCAGCATCTCTTCCCTCACTGTGTTCTCACAGACGTCCAGGAGCTGGCTCTGCTGCGTCACAGAGAGGTATTCTGTGTTAACAGCTGTCGCCTCAAACCGCTTCTTCAAAGCCTCGTCTCCGGCATTCATGCGGTAATCTAGAAGGGCCTGGAAGTTGTTGGACATGTGTTCAGCTTCAGATGCTTTTTCAGCCACTAATGGGATACTCTGTTTCCCCAACATGACCAAAACCTCAAACAGAGATCTCAGGTATTCACGAAACGCCTTCTCCTCCGTGGACAGCTGAGGTTCATCCTCATTTGTGCTCGCGCTGTCCTCAACTGCTGCATCTTTTTTGGAGTTTAGCTGTTCAATAGAAGATGCTACTAGAGACAGATAAGAAAGGAATAGTTATCGTTTTGAGTGAACAGATATTGACTAAAATAATATTCAATTAGTTTACATGTATGACCATAATTAAATATCCTATTTACTTACATCTCCTTTCTTTGATCTTCCTTATGTCTTCTTCAGTCTGAAATTAAAAACGTAAAGTTAAGATCAGACAAAAGTTGGTTAAACCATTAAGTGTAGGAGGTGCATTTAAAAACAACCATAAAAGGCGACTTAAGAGTTAACAAATATTTGCCTTACAAGTTCTTTAATCCGCTTGCGATGTCTGGTATGAGGATTCCTTAGATGGCTTGTCAGATCAAATATAGTTGGAATGGCTGTATCCTTCAATACAGTCCTGTAGGGGCTCTGAAAAACAATAAACTCAAATAAGAGATAAGAGGAAACATGCTATTAGGCTGTTGGCTGGAGCTGTGTGAAATACTCACTGTTTTGCACACCATAGCCGGGTCGAAGTGTTTGGCACATAACCGGTAGTGCTTGTTCAACTGATCAGATGTTTTTGCCTCTAGATCGGCCCTGCGGCAGTTCTCTACCCAGATTCTGCATCTAAAAAGACACAAAAACCAGCTTCATCACAAAGCACTGAGACAGTAGCTGTGTCTGTATAAACGTCTATAAAATATGTTCATACAGGACAAAGTATACAGAATAAATTACAACATGCATACTAAAGTGTGATATTGACTGCTAATGTTTTCCAATATATAACAATATCAAGTTAGGTAATAAATCATTGCTTTATGTTGAATAATCTAATATGAAAGTGGTTGTAGTTTTTCACAGCTAGATTGTGTATTATGGAGACATCAGCTGAAAGTACACACACACACACACACACACTTAATCACTCCCACTGTGATGTGATGTCACTCAGCACCTTTCTCCTCAGGTGTCTTTCTTTGTTGACAGTACAAATGTTCTGCACTTTAAGTTTTAAGTTATTTGTTCTATTGAACATTTGTATATTTTTTCAATAATAATGTTCTTACTGTTCTACTTGTGTGTTACCTCAGGGAGTCGGGCAAAGTAAGATGTTCATTGTGCGTACTGGCCTTGTGTTTATACTGTACATATGATAATAAACCTCCTGCATATTCAACATAAACATTCAAGTTAAAACATCCCAAAATTGGCATAGACACTTATGGCTAAATAGCAGGAAAATGATTGTTTTCCACACTCAACGTGAAAACCTTTGTGTTGATGATTAACGTTAACAGACCAATGTTATGCTTTCACTCATTCTAGGAACTCGGACAGAGAAATCGCACAGTTTAACGGCAGTCACATGAATATCTGAGTCTATCAGCCTTATATATGATGTCTTACCTCTCTGGGTCCCGTGGAAACCTAAAAAAAGCCAAATCTGACTGCGTGCTCTTCCGTGTGCAGTTCGGGGCCGCGCAAAAATTGGGCATGCTTCAGGCTAGGTAGTTAGCTTAGCTAACTCGGCTTACTGTTACCATCTGCTCACCTGAGCGCGTTGGTTCGGGGTTTGTGTGGACGCAGTTGTTTACTGTTTACTAACTGACAACATATATGACCTCAAACAGAGTCCGATAGGTGTTTCCGTAAACAACTATCGAGAGTGCAGTCTGCTTTCACACAACATTCACAACGGTTCAAGTTTGAGCAGGTCGTTTTGCAGCGCTATGCCCCGCCCACAACGAATCTGATTGGTC